GTTGGCCATCCCTCGTGGGAAGGGTCTGCCTCCGGCCCCTGCCTGTTCCCCCCTTCCCGCGGAGAGCCGCTGCGCTGACCCTCCTTCTCCCCGCAGGCAGGGCCGGCGGGGCAGAGGATGCCGGGCGGCTAGACCAGGACACCTCCCCGGCGGGCGGGAGGGACGCGCCAGCCTGTCCCCCATGGAGATCCGACGCGCTTTGCCCCAGGAGTTCTGGGAGCTGCTGCACTGCCTGAAGATGAGGAGCAAGTACGCCGTCCTGCTGGTCTTCGTCATCGGCCTTGTCATTACCGAGGAGGAGAACAACTTCATCTCCAGGTAGGGAGCGGGTACCTAAGAGGGTCTGCCTCCGGCCCCTGCCTGTTCCCCCCTTCCCGCGGAGAGCCGCTGCGCTGACCCTCCTTCTCCCCGCAGGCAGGGCCGGCGGGGCAGAGGATGCCGGGCGGCTAGCCCAGGACACCTCCCCGGCGGGCGGGAGGGACGCGCCGGCCTGTCCCCCATGGAGATCCGACGCGCTTTGCCCCAGGAGTTCTGGGAGCTGCTGCACTGCCTGAAGATGAGGAGCAAGTACGCCGTCCTGCTGGTCTTCGTCATCGGCCTCGTCATCATCGAGAAGGAGAACAACTTCATCTCCAGGTTCTCCCAGCTGAGATCCCGCCTGCGCAATGTCACCTTGCAGCTGACAGGCGACGGGGACCCCCAGCCACGGCGGCACGTCCTGCTGATGGCCACCACCCGCACCGGCTCCTCCTTCGTGGGGGAGTTCTTCAACCAGCAAGGCAGCATCTTCTACCTCTTCGAGCCCCTCTGGCACATCGAGAGGATGGTGACCTTCGAGCCGGGGGGAGCCAACGCGGTGGGCTCGGCCTTGGTCTACCGGGACGTCCTCAAGCAGCTCTTCCTCTGTGACCTCTACATCTTGGAGAGCTTCATCTCGCCGGCGCCCAAGGGCCACCTGACGCCCTTCATGTTCCGGCGAGGCTGGAGCCGCTCGCTCTGCGAGGAGCCCGTCTGCACGCCCAGCGCCAAGAAGGTCTTCGAGAAGTACCACTGCAAGAACCG